TGGATGTTTTGGAGCCTTCAGCAACTTTCACAGTTCCTTTCTTTGCAAGTTTAGGAATTTTCACTAATCACTGCACAATTTATTATCATACTCCATACACTTCACCCTTCTTGATATACCTGGGTAAAGAATAGAGGAATATTATAACGGGGTTTTCTGGAAACATCTCCCCCCTCAAGTGTGAGTAGGAGAAATGACAACATGGTACTTTTGGTAAATTTCCTGTTGAAACTGAAGGTAATCAAATCTTGACGTTCCTCCATACCCTCATATCTTCTGCTGCCTCTTTTTTCAGAAGGCTACGTTCGGGAAGAATTAAGATCATGACCTGGAATTGCCAGTTTTACCGAATCCTTTGGATGCCCCACTCTCTTTCAGAGGGTTAATTCTTTTCTTACCGATTTTCTTATAAATTACTCCATGCCCCAAATTGCTGCCGGGTCCTAGCCAGCCACCTGTGATAACTATGGCAGTTGCCTTTCCCTAGGGAACGAGGCATGAATACTTTCCTGTTCCGACCTCACTGCGGGGAAGCGGGCGCTCTCACCCATCTCATGACAGCATTCATGACAGCAGATAATATTTCTCATGGCCTGAATCTAAAGAAGGTGAGTTGGAGGCTCTCTTCCTAATATTCACTTTTATATTGGAGCTAGAGGAATAATTTTTTCCGTATCATTGTCTCCCAAGTCATTATCAACACTGGAATCAAATTAAAGTAGAGCAAAAAAAGATTTTTGAGGTTATTTAGTACAGTTCATTTCACAGAAGCCAGACAAGTAAAGGGAGCTGCTTACGATTACCTAACCAGTTAGCAGCAGAGATGAGTTAATGCAGGTCTTTTGACTTCTATTCTAGAACTCTGACAAGGGAGAATTCAGAGGTGCTTGGCTTATCTTAAACTAGTTTTTGCCAGATTTCTTGTTATAGCATGTTTTCAAATACCTCTTGTGAGAGTCAGAACTTTCTTATGAGGGATAAAAAAATGTTTCAAGGTGAAGTCTTTTCCCGAGACAGACCATGTACCTTAGGCAACTAAAACTCAAACATTTAGTTTGATTCAAGGCTACTGAAAATTGATGATCCCAAATACATGTATTCTAAATAGCATTTACATTTAAAATGATTATTTGTCTGTCCTCAGGGACTGAAAGAACATATGATCATTCTTTTGAAAGCTAAAACTTGCAGATCATGTAGTTATAACATTTCTCATTTGTATCCCTTTTTCAGCATCCTTAAATAATTTTTTTCGCTTTTCCTTTTCAGAGTCCTGTGTTACAGTATTTGTTCTTCTTAGCCCAGATTCCCATCGCCATGTCGCCATTAAGTAACAACAGCTTATTTCTAGAATATGCCAAAAATCCTCTTTTAGATTTCCTCCAGAAGGGACTAATGATCTCACTGTCGACAGATGACCCGATGCAATTCCACTTTACCAAGGTACACATATGGAATCTTGAGCAATACAGGCATATTTGGAGGGACTGTTGTTTTCCATCCAGAATTTCAAAGTCAAATCAAGGTGTTTCAATATACTTTTTCTGCTGGATGCTTGTTATTTTTTTTAATATGCTTCTTTTCTTCTTTCTTTCTTTCTTTCTTTCTTTCTTTCTTTCTTTCTTTCTTTCTTTCTTTCTTTCTTTCTTTCTTTCTTTCTCTTTTTCTGTTTCTTTTTTTGCCTCATTTAAATAAATAACCTAAGGAGCCCCTAATGGAAGAATACGCCATTGCTGCCCAAGTGTTCAAACTGAGTACCTGCGATATGTGTGAAGTGGCAAGAAACAGTGTTCTGCAATGTGGAATTTCTCATGAGGTAGACCTGTCCTTGGCTGGCTGTCCTTCTGTGCATAGGATCTGGAAACTGAGTAATGAAAAGATAGTTGGGGAAACACATGTAGAAAAATTATCCCGCAAATCATACGCAAATACTATGGCCAGGGATTAGAAAGAATTCTTCTATCTCTCTGGCTATGCCTTTGGGCAAGGAAAATAAAACACATTTGACTTCTCAGCAGACCATGTGTACTGAGGCACTGGATAAGTGCTTTTACTGGTTTATGTTTTCCTTTTGTCAGTAAGTAATATAAGGAAGGGATCTTTGTGGAAGATGTAATTACTGTCTATATCAGGATAAAAAGACAACAATCATTCTCCTTTCTTTTCTCTTACAGGAGAAAGCAAAGTTCCTGGGCGACAATTATCTTGAGGAAGGCCCTATGGGAAACGATATCCGGAAGACAAATGTAGCCCAAATCCGCATGGCCTATCGCTATGAAACCTGGTGTTATGAACTTAATTTAATTGCTGAAGGCCTTAAATCGGGAGAATAAAGCAAATAAACCAAATAATAATGTGGGTGAGATTTTCATTAGAGAATATGAATAATAATTACCAGTTACTGAATCCTTACTATAAACCAATGATTGTACTAGATATCATTCCACTGACATTATTTAATTATTTTCACTTTATGAAGTAGAAAATATTATCTTCATTTTGGAGAAGATGAGTAAACTGAAGTTAGTGAAGTTAATAACCTGCACAAGGACACATCTATTGAGAGGTAGCAATGGGGACGTAGGTTTGTGTGACTCTAGAGTCGCTATGACTTACAGGTGAAATATTTGGTAGTATTTTTTGCCCTGCGTTATTAACAATTAATAATAGTTAATAATACATATTATTATTAACATAATAACTATTAAGTCAAGGCAAAAATATGAGCAAGTGACTTGTTATTGGGAGAATGTAGGCTTAAAATATTTTTTTGATGTTTATTTATATTTGAAGGAGAAAGAAACAGAGCATGAGCTGGAAGGGATAGAAAGAGAGGGAGACACAGAATCCAAAGCAGGCTACAGGCTCTAAGCTGTCAGCAAAGAACCCAATGAGGGGCTCGAACTCAAGAGAGGTGAGATCAGGACCTGAGCCAAAGTTGGATGCCCAACCCACTGAGCCACCCAGGAGCCCCAAGGAGAAATGCAGGCTTTGGGTTTACAGAATGAACTTTGCTTGAGGCACTTAGACCATTGAAAAGTCCTTTTGACGGGATACAACTGGAGACTAATGCTCTTAGACAAAAACAGGTGTCGTCCAATATAGAAAATACGTACCTATGAGCTATTACACTTAGGTAGAATTTATCTTATCCAAAGATGATCAGTTTTAAGGATATAATTGTCAATAAAGTTATAGCCAGCTGTCATTGTACATTTTAAATAACTTTTTAGGAACCTATCTGTTACTCAAGGCCAGGTAGAATTCCAACTAGCTAGACTATACTTCTACATGTGCAACTGTGTTGCCATCTAGTGGCTGGGCTGATAGTTCATTTAACTTATTAAATAAACAATTACTGATGAACTGCTCAAGTATCAGGTAGTATTCTAGGCAGCAAAGGTGTAAAGAATAAGATTTCATTCCTACTCTCCTGTTGTTCACAGTGTGAAATGATAAAGTGAGTGGATACAAATGTGAAAAAGAACATTTTGTGAAACACCTCAGGAAGTAATGACTTCTCAAATGGAAAAACAAAAATAAAGGCAAATTCCTGCATGTTTCCACATTCTACACAGGTAGCTATAAGCATGGGTGTGATCCTGACAGCGTGTTTATACTAGCCCTAGTATAAGAATCCTCTCCCTGGTTTCTGAAGTTGAACTTCTGTTTGCTGAGTATTTATACGTCCCTTAGAGAACCTGATTTTATTTCTACCTTGTCCTCTATATCATCAAAATAATAGAGATTGCTAAATTAAACATTCTAGCCTCAGATTTAAAAGGCATTAACTACCATTAGTTATATCTCCAGATCACCCATGAGAGGGCAGTAGAATACACACATGTTAATTCATTTATTACAGACACAGAAACCATGCCAGATTTGGAATTCAATCTG